TCCCGCCCTGGCGGGGGGGTCGGGCTAGAAGATCTATTAGGTCCCTTCCAACCCTAAAACTATGAAACTATGAAACTGAAGGGCTCTCCTGTGGCAGCCCATGTGTGTGGCTCACTTAGCCACAGAGGCGCTGAGAGATGGAATCCTACCTGGAACTTGTGTTTGCAGACTTGCACAGGGTTGCTCTGAGCATAAAGGAGTCTGGGTAGGGGTGGGAAGGGGAAATATGCTGCCTAGCAGCCTCTGTCTTGCACAAGGAAGGGCTTTGAGTGCTGAAAGGCTATGTCCTCTGTAGTCACACAGCTTTCCACAGATTTTATCTTTCAGGTTCTCTGTGTGTGTTATGAGGGCTATATTAGAGGAGTTACAAGAATTGTTTGCCTTGTGTTCCATAATGTGGACAATGGTTTTCAAAGCACTGTGCAAACTGACTCACCCTTCCAGCCCACTGAAAGGTGTATTTTGTACAAAGAAAACATAATACGTGTTTAAAACTGAGGGCAAGTATAATTTTATTTGTATTTTTCTGGTGGGAAAACTGAGGCACAGAAAGTAAGTGTTTTTTGTTTGTTTTTTTACAAAAAGAGAGGGTTTTTTTATTGTAAGCACTGCAGTAGTGACCAGAAGTTCTACTCACAGACCAGGACCCCATTGTGCTAGGTGCTGTATAAACACAATACAAAGACCATCACTGCCCCAGAGAGGCTGCAATGCAAGAGGCAACAATTGGATACAGAGATGGAAAGAAAGGAGACAGTAATGAAATACTGAGGGGTTTTCTGCATGTGAAAGTTGATCTGGAATAAGGCAGAGTTTGAATTTTAAGCAAACTAGCTGTTTTGGTTTAACTCTGTGTGATTGCTATTATTAGTATCCATCCACACATGGAATTAATCCCCTAGCTGTTGCAGATTAACTCCATGGCTAGGGACAGACATTCAAAAAGCCTAATCAATTCAGTCTTGGCAGGTTAGTCTAACCTGGCTAGGCTGAACCAGTTTCTAACTGTACAGACATCCCCTCTGGACTGAGGAAATGCAGAGACATGCCTGCAGTGACTCAGGCTAGAAGCGGGGGGGGGCGGGGTGTTGCTAGAGCAGCTCTCCCTTCCCTTCCATGGGGGGGTGTGGCCAGGCCCCCCACAGGATTCTCTGATTAGGGAGGGGTCCGTCCTTGGTGCCCCCCCCCCACCCCACCCCCCGCTTCTCTGACAAGAGCCAGCAGGGAGTTGCATAACATTTATCAGCCCATCAGCAAAACAAAAGTTTCTCTCATTAGTTCGAGCTTTTCTTAAATGACTTTTTCCAAGGAAGGAATGGAGGGACATTACCAGGTAGCTGTTGATTAGCTCCAAAAAGCCTTAAGCAGACGCTGTCCTGTCTGCTTTACACAGACACCTCTTGGCATTAGCTGACATACCACATGCTGGCTACGTCCATGCTGTGGGAGAGAGGAGGGAGGGATCCCTGCTTGAGCAGCGAGGGGGGTGGGGGGCAGGGGAAACCAGCAGATGCTTCTGTGCCTGCAAATCTCTGCTGGAGCTTCAGCCAGGGGGCAGAGGGGAGGGGCCATCCCAGCTCTCTGGAGCAGAGAGCCCGGCCCAGCCCAGAGAGCATGCCAGGATGCTGGGGGAGTCTGATTTAACTTAAACCAGGAAAAGGTCTGGGACAGACACTGCATAAACTGGTTTGACACAAATCAGTTGAGTCTGATACTACATTTAATCAGGCTTATGTCAAACTGGTTTCAGCCATCTTCAAACTGGTTTGTGTGCACCAAAAATCTGTTCTGTTACAGGTTTAAACCTGTTTCTGATCACACCCCAGCCAGGTGCATGTTCAGCCTCCTCTTAAAGACCCCCAAGGTAGGGGAGAGCACCACCTCCCTTGGAAACCCATTCCAGATTCTGGCAACCCTTACCGTAAAGTAGTTAAGTAAAATCAGTTTTACTTAACTGTAAAATCAGTTTACTTAACCATAAAAGCAGTTAAGTCTGATACTACATACCACCAGGTTTATCTCAAACCAGTTTCAGCCATTTTCAAACTGGTTTATGTGCACTGAATGTCTGTTCAGTTACAGGTTTAAACCAGTTTCTAATTACTTAAACCAGTTTATGTGTAAAGTCTGTCCCTAGCCCATGTGTAGGAAAGCCCTGAGAAACAAGTCCAGGGAAAGTCCTGCAGATGAGAACTTGGGAGATGCTGGCTCCTAGTCCAGTACTTGGTCTCCTGTCCCATGCTGCCTCCCTTGCTCCTCCATTCCCTTTCTTTTGGTGGTACTTGAATAGACATATAACTTCCCCCAAAACCTCCAAAATCTTTCTTGATGACAAACAGAGAGAGTGAGCAGATTCCATTTGCCTGAGAAGGGGCAGGAGGGAGAATAGGTCTGTGACTTGGCTTGAGCTGCAGCAATGTCATGCACGCAGATATCTCCTGCAGCCTTGTTTCTTGGGGATGGGGGATAGAGGGAAGCCCCATGCTGATAATGTACTGAAAGTAAATGAAATTAAATAAGCGAAGCAGTGCTTGCAGCTCCTGCCTTCCCCCCTGGGTAATTCAATTCGAGCGCTCGTGCTGATGGGATCTCGCTGGGGCTGCCTCTGTCATCCCGCTGGGGCCTGGAATCTTAACGTCTAAATAAAAGTTTCACTCAAGCATTTTTTATGCTCCTGCCAGCGGGATCAGTGAGCTAGTGTTGGGCACATTAATGTAATATTCATACTTGCAGGGTCTCCCTGTGTACCAGGCAGCCTTGTCCCATTTTCATAATTATAAATGTCCCATAAAATGACATTTAAATTTGCATTAACAAAAGGGGCCTGAATTCTGGATTTTTCTTTTTTTTTTTTTTAAACGCTTAATGTGCCTTTTTACAAGTCAGATGTTCAGCATCTCTAAAGCAAAAGCCAGATAACAAAGATGCTGTTACCTGTGCTGCTGAAAGGAGGGCAGGTGTGCCAGATTGATAGCACCTGTGAGATGCCATGTTTTTGGGAAGTTCCGGATCCTGATCAGCACTGTGCAATCAGCCCATGTGTCAGTAATTGCCTCCTGCAGCAAAACCCCAAGTCAAATGTAGGGACATGGGATTTGCCATATTGGATCAAACCAGTGGTCCATATAGTCCAGCATCCTGTTTCTGATGGTACTAAGTGCTGTGGAAGAAGTAGGCAATTATAAGCTTACCTCCCCCCATCAAGAAAAATTCCCTCCCCATCCCTAATGTTCCCTGGTCTACAGGTGCCCTGACACTCGAAGATTGATAGCCCTTTCCTTGTTCTTTCCCTGAAATTTACTCTTACAGTGCTGGGGGAGGAGCAAGGGGTCTTACCCATATGCATGTCCAGTCTTGTACCCCCATCCTGCTTTATGCTTGACCTGGGCAGTCTCTTCTGGCAGTGTGTTTTACAGGCAAATGTGGAAAAACATTCCCTGCAAGCAATTTTGAATTTGCCCCTGTTCAGCTTCAAGTGTAAAGGCCCCACTCATCCCAGCCCCACCTCAAGTAAATAGGGGTGGAATTTACACTGACCAAAGTGCTGCTCAAGCCTTTGAGCAAGGGTGTAAGTGATGCAAAGGTCCCTCATAGAAGGGCAAATTTCACCCAAGAGCAGGGTTCAAATTATAATTAGGCTCTTGGCGGGGTCTGTAGTGGTGGCAGCTGGAAAAAGCAACTGCCGCCTCCTGAGCTGCTTAGAAAGGCTGGTGGCTGACCAACCTGCAGCAGGGAGTTCTCAACTCTTATGGGAGGGCTCTCAACTCTTATGGGGGGATCAGCCCCCCCCCAAGCTCCCCCGTAATTCAAACCCTGCCCAAGAGCCACCATCATGTTACTGCCTTACACTCACCCACAGCTTTGCCCCCAGCAGAAGTCTCCAGTTCCCAGTTAATAATGAGCTCAGAGAGGGGTGCATGTGTGGAGAGAAGTTTCTACAAAACTGAACTTTGTGTGTGTAGTTGCTCTTGTGCCTGGCGTTCACCCCGAGACCCATTTGTTGAGGATTTATAGCAACCCCAGAGTTTGCAAACTATAAAACACAAAAATGAAAATAGTCTGCGAACAAGGGAGCTGACAGCAGGGATAGATTGGACCAGGAGCTGGATGTTAGAAAGAGACGCTAAGAAAACAAGAGAAACCCTTCTGATCTGGGATTCTGGGAAGTTATTCATACTTAAAAGGCTGCCAAGCTTGGGCGCTGGGGAGATGATTAGTAGCATTTAGTTAGTCATTTTTTATTGTGTTTCAGTACAAATTATTATGACGTGAGACTTGCCAGGGCTCGGGGGGAGGTAGGGGAAAGGCGTTCTCAGTGGCAGTCTGTGAGCCATAGAATTCTTGACTGAACTGGTTTTGGAGGAAAGTCTTACCAGCTTTGGCATGCAGTTCAGGGCACAACTATGTGTTGGATGGAGCCTCTTCTCAGTAAAGCTTACAAGTTGCAGTGAACTGCCAGGTCAGAAAGAACTTGTGTGTCTTCAGGGACCTGAAGAGTCCTGTGCTACTATTCTCATCCACTCTCCCTCCCTCCCCCCCACTCCTGCCAGCTTTTCGTTGCTTTTTTACTAGCAAGTGTACCCTTCAGATCAGCATCTAAAATAATACTGTTTCTCCTATGGTCCACACCTAGATTTCTGCCTCTCTTGCACACAGTGGAAGTAAAAAGCCCTAGTGGAGGAAGATAGTTTGTAATCTTGATAACCTCAATAAATTCTGGCCTATGTGTAATTTAAATCATAGATTTAAAGCACTCTTAGAGCAGCTTTATGCAGATAAAGACTGGTGTCTGTTCTAGGGGGGCTTAAGGTTTTGAAAAGGGTTTTATGGTCCCTAAAAGCTGGAATATCCTGTGTGTGTAGAAATTTTGTATATGAGCATAAGCTGTGGGGGTGGTTACATTCATTGTTTGGATGTCCATTGCATCTCTGTGGTTTTGCACAATTGTGTGCTACCTGTAGGTAGGAAAACATCATGAGATTTTGCTCCATTTTCCCTAGGGTCAGAGGACAACATACAGAAACCTACTCAAGAAGTGGAGAGCATTTTGAAGCAAGGACACTTGGAGAAGAGGTCCCGAGGTAAGTCGAACATACCTTTTTTGAAGGCGTCCTGTAATGTAGTGGGTATGGATTGACGTCTTTTGAATTATGCTCATCAACAAGGTATAAAGATGGAGAGTGAGAATGGAGCAGTGGTGATTTTGGGATTTTTTTTTTAAGAGTTGTTTTTCTACTTGTCTTTTATTTTGGAAATTCAAGGGTTATTTCCCTTGGAAGACTCTAAAGATGACTGGAGAACTAGGTATGTTCATTGTATTGGTGACACCACTAAACAGAAAAGTGAAGAAACTTTTATTTCGGTGATTCAACTCCTTGACTGAGTTTTCAAAAAAACACCTAAGTGGTTTACGAGCACAAATCTTTTTGTAAGTTGTTGTGACTTATACACCAGAGTTACCTTGCTACTCTTTTGAAAATCCCACCATTTATTCTCTGTTAATGCCTGATTCCAACAGGCTTTTGCCATATAGGCATTTGGAAACGTTTCAGAAGGGGAGCTGCTGATTGGGGTCCCCACTGCAACTGTTTAATGCTTCTAGAAAAATGTAGCAAAACTCCTACAACTTTAATCTGGGATGAAGTAGCAAAACAATTTCAACATTAATACTACATTTGTATGATTTCTGGCTTGTCCCCACATAACTGTTGGGAATGTAACAGCTACTGGATGGTTCTAAGCAAGAATCCTCCCCTCCTCCCCCATCCATGCACATGCACTTGAAATGGCTCAAAATATGCATGTACCCATACCCTCAAAAACACCTGGGAAAAATGCTCTCTTTAAGGATTTGACACAAAGGGTGCGTAGCTCAAATAGAAGCAGTGCAAATTTGAGCCAGGGCTTTTTGCCTCAGCACACATGCCTGGATATGCCCTGTGGTGTGGTGCAAGTTACAGCACTTGGGGCAAAAGAACTTTGCCTGGCTCCTACCTCCTGTGGCCAAGAGGAGCTAGAGCCTGGGGCCAGCACCTGTGCCTGCCCCAGCAGTGTAAAAAATGGCCCTGTTCTGGCCCCATCAGTACAAAAAGCTGCCCTAGCAAGTAGCTCGGGGCTACTTGTTCTCAGGAGCTTCTGGGGCCCAGCCAATTGGTACCTAGGGACACTATCCCTTGTGTCAGCTGGACTGCTGAAACAGCCCTAAGAGTTTCCTGCACCTTTTACCCACTGCAGCAGTCTGGCAGTGGGGGCTGCTGCCTGGCTGTGACTTGCTGCCACTTGTGACAGCATG